GTCTGAGGACTGACTGAGGGGTCTGGAGGGTCTGAGGACTGACTGAGGGGTCTGAGGGGTTTTAATTTGATTAAATAAAACTTTTGATTCAGGACTCTACACTCGGAGCGGTCTGGGACTGGATCAGAAACCTCGCTCTCAGGTCGGACCTGGACTGTGGACTTGAGCAATGACCCGGTTCAGTCAATCAGTGACAGATGATCAGAGTCCGGCTCGGCACAGAGCATGTGGAAACCCTACGGTATTCGACCCAGTTCAAGGTGAAAGGAATGCTTGTCACCCGCCACCTTCCACCTCAGACTCTCTGAGTGTCCTGATGGATCTGTGGCTGATCTCCTGCTGATCTCCTGCTGATCTCCAGTGATGCTCCCGGTGTCTGTGTTGGGGATGACTCTAAGCTGTTTCCACAAAGTTTAGCTCCATGTGTGTAAATTGTCTCGCATACCTGCGGTCCAGGTGTCCAGTTACAACTCGTATAAAACTTCCAGTCAGCTGAAGCTCCGAGGAGGAGCCGTGTGAGCGGGTCCCCGTCCCCTCGAGTCCCTCGGCTGTGAATATGTCTTCAGCCTCGGCTCGCACCACGACACACGTTGGGTCTCTCTTTGTGTGGAAAAGGACAGAATTGTCGCCTCTGAGTGTTTGAAGACCTCACACGAACACCCCCAGGTAAAAACTGCTGGATAAAAATGTCCTCTGGTCCTCTTTCTTACTCGAAGCCACACTCGAGGACTCCGAACATTTTAACTGGTCTTACTGTCGAGGGCAGACGTTCACCACACAGATGTTCAGATGTTCTACATGCACACTCCAGTCAGGAGAATGCGTGCGAGGCTTGTTTCTATAACTTTATCCGCTCCTGGCTCAGGCAGACACTGATGGCCTCGGCCTCCCAGCTGCACATGCAGGATCAAATCGGCTCCTCATTCAGCGCTCCGAGAGAAAAGAGCTCTCTGCTGCCTCAAACACGTGGCTCATGGGCAGTCAGCGTGAAGAACTTCCATAAACGTTGACGGAAACTCCCCAGACACCAACGTGGCTGCTCGTCCTCACCTGTCGGCAGCAGGTAACGGTTTTAAATCTGGAAAACTGAGTGCACCTTGAGGCGTTCTTGTCAACACGATGCGTTCGTGTGTCGTTGGTGGAAGCGTTACGTTGTAAACTCTTCAGTGTTCACATCTGGAATGTTTCCTGCCCATCTGGATAAACTGGTTTTTATTTCTTATCTTTCCTCAGCCTGAATGTGGTGAGCCCTCAGGTACTCGACGAGTCCTGTCTGCCGGTGATCATCACGCGCCGGGCTTTCCTTTGTAGGTACACCTGATTAAACACACCTGGGCGTGCCGTGACATCACCCCCCCCCCGACATGCATGGAAACCTGCAACTCTTGGGTTGTTTGTGTCCCCTCGAGCCGCCGGTGTTGGATTGCTCTGCATGACTTTCTGGAAATGCATGTTGAAGTCATCAATAAGTGATGCTTCGTGACATGGAGCTTAAAGGGACAGTCCGGTCTTTTCTTGAAGCGAAGTTCTGTTGCAGTCGGGGAGCAGGAGGCGAAAGTCTTGATGCATGCTAAGCTAATGGCTAGCCAAACCAGGACTGAATGTTTAGTTCAGGCTTAAACAAACGCTGTAAGAACACAGCTTTAGACATTTCTCTGGATCAGAACATCCAGTCAGGGTCAAAGTTAAAGTCCTGAAGGACTGAACCTTCAGCAGCCTGTCTGTCATCAAAACACACACACATTATTTGGTGTGTGTGTGTGTGTGTGTGTTCATGAGCCTGAAAAGCACCATAAAACTGGTCCTGATCCACCTGAACCGAGACGTCTGTCCTCGTGTTCTGCCTGCTGTCACAGCTGAGATAAGATATCAACTCCACACAACTGTTGGACAGAAGATGCTGGAAGAGTGACCGGACTGTCCCTTTAAGTGAAGGTCCACGTGCCGTACAAGCAGGCTTGAACAAACGTGACCTGTGAAGGACTGAAACTTTGTGCTGAAGTGGGAAAACTGAAGCTGTCCAGTCCTGCAGACCCTGAGCTCTGGGGGGTGGGGGGTACACGCCCCCCATCCGGGATCAGGGCCAAGGGGAGGATCTGTTGACACAATCAGACCGGGTCAGCTGAGCCAATCGGCTGCAGGCAGCCTGTTGCAGCTCAACAGCAGATGCACGACTGATACAAGTTTAAGGTGGAGCGGCTCTGCACGGTGGAGCACGGAGCACGCTCGCCGCTCGCGTGCACTTCACCAACAGCCGTTGTTCCTCACTCAAATGTCAGATTAGATTTAGAGATTCTTCCTGTTTTGTGTGTTTTCATCAGCATGCAGTTCTGCAGCGATCTGTCACTCAAACCTTTTATTCCAGGCTCGAATGAGAGAACAGAACTTTAATTTGTCTTTTTATTTTTACAGCTGGAAACATTAGAAACTTGCTCCTGAGAAGGAGAACGTCCACCCTCATTTACTTTCAGGACCTATTTAAACTGGTCTGTTCTACAGTTACTCAACTCTAACCTGATGAGAAGAAAACGCACCAGACTGGACCGTGCTGTTGTTTAGTACACGGGAACTAAAAGTTCAAACTGAGTCGAGTCCTGCTGCTTCCACAGGAGGTTCAGATCCGCCTGATCCTCATCAGCAGGACCGCCTCTGGAAAAGCGTACAGATGTGTGTGTTAAAACAACGTCGAGGAGGAAAGAATCAGCAATGATCCACAGAGAACTAGCTGTCCATCTGGGGAGGGTCAAAGGTCATTTACTAGCTGTCTGCAGTTCATTGTTCTACAGAGAGAAGATTATTCATAAATGAAAAGTTTCCCAAGAGTGACGTTCCAGAAAATTCACCCAAAAGATCGAAAACGAGAGGCTGAGACTCTACAGGCCTCAGGTACCAGGTCAGAGGTCGGCCTCTCTCAGGTCAGAGGTCAGCCTTGTCAGAGACTCTACAGGCCTCAGGTAGCAGGTCAGAGGTCGGCCTCTGTCTCAGGTCAGAGGTCGGCCTCTGTC